AAATGACCGGGTTTCATTGTTTTTGACTGCTGTATAGTATTCGATAGAGTACATGTCCCATGATTTCTTTATCCAGTCTACTGTTGATGGGCATTTGTGTATTTCATAGAAATCTGAGAAGATAATCATACTTCCCTCCATTTTTTGCTCCCTTTCAAGACCAACTTTTCTTTTTAGATTCCACATATGAGTGAGATCATGCAATGCTTGTCCTTCTGTGTCTGGCTTATTTCACTTAGCAAAATGTCCTCCAGGTACTTTCATGTTATTGTCAACAACAAAATGTTTTTTTCATTTTAAAGGCAGAATAGTTTTCCATTATGTATATGTACTACACTTTCTTCATCCATTCATCAGTGCATGAGCACTTAGGTTGTTTCTATTTCTTGGCTATGGTATACAGTGGTACAATAAACCACTGTGGTACAATGGGAGTGCAGATGTCCCTTTGATTTCATTTCCTTTGGATATATACCTCATAATGAGATTACTGTATCATATGGTAGTTCTACTTTTTTGGGGTGGGGGAATATCCACACTTGTCAATAATCTACATTCTCATCAACAGTGTGCAAGGGTTACCTTTTCCCTACATCTTTATCAACATTTGTTACATTTTATCCTTTTGATAATAGCCATTTTAAAAGGTTGAACTATGGCTTTAATTCATGTTTCTCTTATTATTGATTTTGAACTTTTTTTCATACACCTGTTAGTCTTTTATATGTCTTGAGAAATATCTAGTCAGATTCTTTGCCCATTTTAAAATATTTATTTATTTTAAAGGCAAAGTAACACAGCAAGGTAGGTGGAGAGAGAGAGACAGACAGAGACAGAGACAGAGACAGGGAGAGATATTTTCTATTTGCTGGTGCACTCCCCAAATTCTCACAGTAGGCAGGGTTGGGCCAGGATGAAGCAATGAGCCAGGAATTGCATCTGGGTCTACCAGGTGGTTGGCAGGCATTGCAGCTGGAAGCTTAACCACAACACCTGCCCTGCTTGTCTGTTTTTAAGTTGAGTTATTTATTTCCTTGCTATCAAGTTGTTTGATTTCCTTATATATTTTGGGTGTTAACTTTTATGAAATATATAGTTTGAAAATATTTTCCCATTCTATACATTTTTTAAATTATTTATCAAATAAAGAAATAATTTGAAAGCAGAAAAAGAGAGACAGAGACAGACAGACAGAGACAAGCTCTCCCATCCACTGGTTCATTCCTCAAATGCCTACAATAGCAGAGGTGGGGCCAGGCTGAAGCCACAACCTGGAACTCAGTTCATGCCACCCATGTGAATATCAGGGACCCAAATCATCACCTGTTTCTTCCCAGAGTGAACATTTGCAGGATGCTGGAGTCAGGAGAATAGCCAGGGCTTGAACCCAGGCAATCTAATATAGAATGTGGGCAACCCAAGCAGCAGCTTAACTGCTAAGCCAAATGCTCATCCCTGTAGGTTGTTTCTTTATTCTGGTGATTGTTTCCTTGGCTATGCAGAATTTTTTTTTTAGTATTGTATTTATGTTTCCCATACTTTTCCCCCAAGATTTATTTTTATTAATTTGAAAGACTTACAGAGAGAGGTAGAGAGAGAGAGAGGGGTCTTCCATCTGCTGGTTCACTCCCCAGATGGCTCAACAGCTGGAGTTGAGCCAATCCAAAGTCAGGAGCCAAGAGCTTCTTCCGTGTCCCCCATGCGGGTTCCACCTTCTACTGCTTTCCCAGGCCATAGCAGAGAGCTGGACTGGAAGTGGAGCAGCCGGGACTAAAATTGTCGCCCATATTGGATGCCGGTGCTTCGGGCCAGAGCTTTAACCCACTGCGCCACAGCGCCAGCCCCTCCCATACTTTTGAGTTTATGGCAAAAGAATCATTGCCTGGACCTATTTCATGGAGATTTCTCATATGTTTTCTTCTACTAGTTTTTCTGTTTCTGGTCTTACATTTAAATCTTAAATCAGTTTTAGTTGATTTTTACATACGATATGAGATAAGGGCCTGATTTAATTCTTCTGCGTGTGCATATCCAGTTTTCTCAGAACCACTTATTAAAAATACTACCCTTTCCAATTTTGCTCTTGGCAGCCTTGTTGAAAAATCGGTTGATACCATGTACAAGTTCACTTCGGGACTTTCTGTTATGTTACACTTGTAAGTGTATCTACATTTTTTCCTTATTTCTTTATACTACAGAAAGAAAGACAGAGACAGAGAACTCCCATCTATTTGCTCACTCCCTAAATGCCTGCAGAGACCAGGGTTAGAATAGGCTGTAGCTGGGAGCCAGTTGAACCATCACTCACTGCCCCGTGAGCTCTTCATAGTCAAGAACCCAGGATTGGGAGCCAGAGCCAAGAATTGGAGCCGGCGCCGTGGCTCAATAGGCTAATCCTCCACCTTGCGGCGCCGGCACACCGGGTTCTAGTCCCGGTCGGGGCGCCGGATTCTGTCCCGGTTGCCCCTCTTCCAGGCCAGCTCTCTGCTATGGCCAGGGAGTGCAGTGGAGGATGGCCCAGGTGCTTGGGCCCTGCACCCCATGGGAGACCAGGAAAAGCACCTGGATCCTGGCTCCTGCCATCGGATCAGCGCGGTGCGCCGGCTGCAGCGGCGACCATTGGAGGGTGAACCAACGGCAAAAGGAAGACCTTTCTCTCTCTGTCTCTCTCTCTCACTGTCCACTCTGCCTGTCAAAAAAAAAAAAAAAAAAAAAAAAAGAATTGAACACAGGCACTCTGACATGGGACAAGGGCATTTTAACTGGGGTCTTAACTGCTGGTCCAAATTCTATTTTTAGTACCAATACCATGCTGGTTTGACTACTACAACTTTGTAATATATGTTTAAGCCAGACAGTATCATGTTTCAAGCTTTGTTCTTTTTGTTCAAGATTGCTTTACTTATTCAGAGTCCTAAATTGAGAGCTTTTCCTCTAAGTTCAGGAACAAGATAAGCGTGCCTACTCTCAACTCTTCTTCCATCATAGTACTGGAAGACCTATTCAGAGCAATTAATCAAGAGAAAAATAAAAGGCAAAAAAATAGGAACTTAAGAAGTGAAAATTTCTATTTGCTAATGACATATAGAAAACTGTAAATATACCACCAAAAACTGATATAACTAGTGAATTCAGTAACATTGCAGGTTACAAATACATAATACAAAAATTAGTAGTGCTTTTATACACCAACCAAAAACTATCTGAAAAGAAATTATGGAAATAATCTAATTGATAATAGCTACAAAAATGGAATACTTAGGAATAAATTTAACTCTGGATGTGAACAATCTTTACATATAAAACTTTAAAACATTGATGAAAAGAATTGAAGAAGGCACAAACAGATGGTACAGTACTCTGTTTTCATGGATTGGAGGAATTAATATTGTCAAAATGCTCATACTATTCCAAATGTTCTACAGATTCAATGTAATACCTTTAAACATTCCAGTGACATTTTTTCACAGAAAAAAAAGATTGATATTGATTATTTCAGTACCTATGTCATATTTAAGTCTGGCTCTGAAGTTGGTTTGTTTCTTCAAATTATGTTATTTCTTGTATTAGCATGTTTTGCAATTTCAGTAGATAGGGCTTTAGCATGAATATTTATATTAATCTGATAAAGTGTGGTATTGTGTTTTATGTTTTTTTTTTCTCCTGAGGGTCTCAAAGGCAATAAATTCCTGTACTTTTCTTGTTTTCATCTCCTCTGTTAGCCCTTCCTTTTGTGCTGCACTTCAGAGATAGTCTGTAATCCACTGCTATTTTCCTTGAAGGTTTATTAGTTTGTAGTAGAATGTTTGCAAAAAAGCATTCTATAATCTTTGGATTAAGTCTCAGGCTTTTGAGTACACAGCAGACTTGTATTTTGGGATTATGGTCTTCACAATTGTTTTTGTCCCTGTTCAAGGGTATTGTGGATCAAATGGTATCTCTCAAAAAGTCTTAACCTCTGGTACCTGTAGGTATAATCTTATTGGGAAATATTTGTACAAATAATCACCAATTCACAATGGCTCAACTTACAATTTTTTAACTTTATGATGGTATGAAAAACATACTCAGTGGAAATCACACTTTCAATTTTGATCTTTTCTTGCCCAGTGATATGTGGTATGATCCTCTCTTGTGATGCTAGGCAGTGGCAGTAAGCCACAGCTCCCAGTCAATCCCTCCATCATAAGGGGGAAACATGGGGGTGAAACTTACATCTCCCTACCCTCCCCACCACCTGATAACTTCTATGGTTATAACAGTTCTAGTCTATGACTTTGAAACCTTATTCCCTATATATTGAGGCTTTATTTTATCTTAGGTCATGCAGAGAGACAGGATTTACCTGGAGCAGGGAAGATTTCCCTTCCCCTAGCTAGAGTGGGATTTCACTATTTTCCAGTATTATTTTTGTCTTTCTCACAACTACCAAGGTATTTTGGAAATAGATGGCTAGATGTCTCTGCCCTGTTCGTCTTATGTTTGATTATTGGACAGGCAGCATGGACAGTGAGAGAGAGAGACAGAGAGAAAGGTTTTCCTTCTGCCATTGATTCACTCTCCAATGGCCGCCACAGCTGGCGTGCTGCAGCTGGCGCACCGCGCTGATCCGATGGCAGGAGCCAGGTACTTATCCTGGTCTCCCATGGGGTGCAGGGCCCAAGCACTTGGGCCATCCTCCACTGCACTCCCTGGCCACAGCAGAGAGCTGGCCTGGAAGAGGGGCAACCGGGACAGAATCCGGCTCCTCGACCGGGACTAGAACCCGGTGTGCCAGCGCCGCAAGGCAGAGGATTAGCCTAGTGAGCAGCGGCGCCGGCCTAGATATCCTCTTAACTGCACAGAAAATAGTCATATCTCACAAAAAGGATATGCCATTACACAACAAAGTGAATATACTTTACTGAACTGTACACTTAAATATTTAAGATGATAAATTTTAAGTCGTGCAACTTTTAACCACAATTGAAAAAGTATATCTGTCTCCACATATCTCTTACCAAAATGATCTTCATGCTGCTGCCAGGCACAATTCAGAGGTTTGGAAACTGTATGGTACCTATGGATCGTTAAAAGAAATGAGCTTTTGAAGTTGGGTTGTTGAAGGGTTCGGCATATGACTCCTCCCTTCAGCAAAGCCTGGAGTTTGCTTTGTAGGTGGGACAACTTGCAGTTCCACATCCTAGAAAACTGGAAAATAACAAGACAGAATTAGTAACAATATAAAATTTTTATGTGACTACAGGAATAGCATTACAGGCTTAAATATGTAAAATAAATAATTTAATTATATCAATTAAGGAAAAGTAAACAATGAAGAAATTCTGAAAACTTAACACTAAGTGGTCTATAACCATTACTTCCATTTTCTCATGAGTCACTTTTATTTTATTCCTTGTAATCTTCCTTTTGTCTCACTACATTACCAAATCAAATTCTTTTTAAAAATCCACTAATTTTAATCTTCCAAACACATATAAGGGCCATTTTTCAAGTCTCAATTTTCTGGCCCTCTCTGATTGTGATATTTTTGATTGCCCTCATCCTGGATAATTGAAATTCATTTTCCACAGATCATGTGTGAGTGTGGGCAAGCTACTTAAAATCTTGATTCAATTTCCTCCTTAGTAAAATTAAGACAGTAACAATATTTATCTTTTGAGTTTAGTGCGAGGACTAAAGTACTTAGAACTGTATCTGGATATCATCTCATCTAAGAAGTATTTCCTACATTCCCAGAATAAATTAATAACAGTTTTCTTGTAATATTCTGCTTAAATCTCTTCCTACTTTGTTGAAATTGTTTATATATAGATATATTTTTTTCTCAATAATACTATATTTTTTGCAATAGAAAGACCTATATTTTGTCTATGGCCATACCATCCTGAACATGCCCAATTTTGTCTTAAAGACCTATATATGTCTTATTCTTTTTTTTGCATTGTAATATCTAGCATAATTCCCAATATTTAGTAGAACCCCCTAAGTGCTTATAATATTTGGATTACATTACACTTCTTCTAGCTTCATAGTAATAAGATGTTTGCTCTAAATCTTCACATAAGTAAGTGATACAGATATTAAATAGGTTGAATCAAAGATATAGTTTATAGCACGTCATCAGAAAATTCTTCTTTTGCCTATACTCTGTTATGAGCACTTTGAATAGGATAATTTAATTAACACAGAATTATGCAAGTTATCTAACCCATACTATGTTTTCCATAAGGGTGTCAAAGATTCGTTAAAAATCTTGCTGAAATTTAATTTCTTCACTTAACATGTATACTATGTCTTCCATATTTTCACAAAATATCTCTAAACCCTGTCAGAAATAAAAATTAAGTTTGTACTGAGTGACTTTATCAATAGTTTACAATTTTCTAAGTATACACTTACTTTAAAATCTTTTCCAGAAGGTAACTCAGGAGAGAGTAAGCTCACTAGTAAGAAGATTGAAGACTCTCTTTTCTTCCTTGTTAGAACTGATAATATTTTTACATAAATCCAGACTAAAAGCACCTCATCTGAGTTATGATTTACCCATTCCAAGACACATTTTTTTCTTTCTTATAGCATAATTAAAATATTGCTGTTGTATTTACAGAAATGCATTTCTATAAGCCTAAAGTAATTTTGAGATTTTTCAAATATTAATCATTTAGGCACATGTCATCTGTTATATTTATCCTTGCTTTTGTGTCCTTCTCTTACACTTTTTGTATATTATCATTTTTAAAAAAGGAACTATAAGCTCCTCTTAAAGCTTCCTGTGTGATCCCATGGCATTCCTTTTTTTCTCATTTGCTAGAAAAATTTGCTGTTTCATGGTCAAAATTATTGTTCTGAGAGCATCCCAACCTTTGAAGTCTAAAGTCATATTAATGTAAATTAAGATTCAACGAGTACCAATCATAGAAACAGGAACTTTTGGAGAATAGCCATAGCTAGAAATTCCAGTCAGTGAGCAATCACATAATAGGTCAATCTGAATCTTTTCATGGTTATTACTAAGGAAGAAGCACTACCTCCTGAAAGGCTTAAAGCCAAGAGACCATTTAGTTCCTGTCATTTTTTTCTTTCCAAATGTCTTTCAGATTTGTCCTTCTCTTTCTACTCCTATAGATGCTTTCATCACCTCATACCTGGATTATTGCCATAGACTAGACGGTTTCCTTGCCTTCAGTTCATCCATATTCCAATCCATTTTCCATATGACTGCCAGATTAATCTTCTTAAAACACTTTCTGCCATGGCTGAGAAAGAACTTCTAAGATCAATCCCATTCACAATAGCTACAAAAACAATCAAATACCTTGGAATAAACTTAACCAAGGACGTCAAAAGAGCTCTACGATGAGAATTACAAAATCTTAAAGAAAGAAATAGAAGAGGATGCCAAAAAATGGAAAAATCTTCCATGCTCATGGATTGAAAGAATCAATATCATCAAAATGTCCATTCTCCAAAAGCAATTTATAGATTCAATGCGATACCAATCAAAATACCAAAGACATTCTTCTCAGATCTGGAAAAAATGATACTGAAATTAATATGGAGGCACAGGAGACCTCGAATAGCTAAAGCAATCTTGTACAACAAAAACAAAGCCAGAGGCATCACTACAGGGCAGTTGTAATCAAAACAGCATGGCACTGGTACAGAAACAGATGGATAGACCAATGGAACAGAATAGAAACACCAGAAATCAATCCAAACATCTACAGCCAACTTATATTTGATCAAGGATCTAAAACCAATTCCTGGAGCAACGACAGTCTATCCAACAAATGATGCTGGGAAAACTGGATTTCCACGTGCAGAAGCATGAAGCAAGACCCCTACTGTGGGGAGCAAGCCGGACTAGACTGAGTTACTGGAATTAAGACTTATTCTATGCATCTGCTCTCCCACAATGTGGCGTTGGGAGAGAAGTAAACAGCTTCCGCACAGCTGCCTCCAGTTCAACTGATAAACTGTAGGACTTGCTCCTGATTGGAGGAGAGCAGCGTACTCGGCGTGTGGGCAGCCGAGTTGGGATTGGCGGAGGAGGACTATAAAGGAGGAGAGAGACGGCATGCACCAGGAACATCTATGGGGAACATCTAGCTGAAGGAACACCTGTGCAGCCCCCGAGAAGAGCCGGCCGGCGGTGTGCCGCTCCCCTGCGGAAGTGGGGAATGTGGACAGGGGGAACTGCCCTTCCACGGAGGTGGAAGGGATAGTAGCCAACCCGGGAAGAACCAGCAGCAAACCTGGGGAGGGCCGAGCAGACAAAAGAACAGCGCAGGGTCCTGTGTTGCTCCTCCACAAAGAGGGGGAGCGACATAATGGTGCCGTGACTCGGATAGGAAACCTAAGACGGATAGGAAACCTAGCTCGGATAGGAAACCTAGGACGGATAGCAAACTTAGGAGGGAAGAAACGGGAAGAACTGGGAAATTACCGGAGAGAGAGACTAGCAAACAGCCTAGGGAAAAGCCGGACGAAAAGGGTGCCGGAAGAAGCTATTGAAAGCCTAGGCATAGACTCAGATACGGACTACGGGGGGAGAAGCTGGGAGAAATCTCTAAGGTCGAAAGCGAAAGTGAAAGCTAGAACAAACAGACTCGGATGCGGACTGTGGGGAGAGGCCAGGAGAAATGAGGGAGGAATATTGTTGGAAGAAAACTTAGGGAAACATACCGGGTAGAGAAAAGTGTTAGGGAAATTGAAGCCGCGGGGGGCAGGCCGAGGCTGAAACGAAAGCCACTTTGGGATTCTCAAGTTAGCCCGGGAATAGGGGGCGAAAAGTTGAAACCGGAAGCTGAAACGTGAGCCTGGTTGGGATCCGTCTGATTAGCCCGGGGAGCAAAGGACGGGAAGCCAAACCGTGGGGCGGAGACGTACGCTGGGTTGAATTCGCCAGGCTAGCCCGGGGAACTTAGATTGAATGCTAGTGGCGGACACGTAAGCTACGCTGTGTTACTCGCGGAAGCCGCCGCATGCAGAGAGAGCGTGCGGGGCACAAGTAGATAGGGAACGGGGCTGGAGCGAGGCCGTGGTGCAGACGCGAAGGGCGTGGAGACCGCGGAGCGCGCGAAGCCGAGCCGCGAAGAGCCGCGAAGCCGCGCGGAGCCGTGAAGCTGCCAGCAGGGCGAGGCGCCGGAAAGCTGCCGAGAAGCAGCCTCGGGGCGGGCGCAGCCGGGAAGCCGCGGGGATAAGAGAAACAGAAGTTTAGAAATGGAATGAGAGCGGGAAGCTGCAGGGATAAGAGAAATAGAAGTTTAGAAGCAAAGTGAGAGAAATAGGAATGCTGGAAGATAGAAGTAAAATGGGAGAAATAGGAATGCCCGGAGATAGAGAAATAGAGAAATAGAAAGGCCTCCCTACAACACTGCAATGTGAGAGCTTGGATTCGGTCTGCCTGATTAAGTGAGGCGATGAGCACGATGAGCACCTGGGCGGCTAGCAGCTTATGCGCCGCAGGTCACCGAAGACAGGCACGAATTAACATCAGTAAAGCTTCCCCACAATGCAACAATTAGGAGGCTTGGATTCGGTTTGCCTGATAGGTTTTGTAAGCCCCTGCGGGCAGAGCAGAGCATGTGCTGCAGGGCACCGAACACAGGCACGCATCAGCGCCTAAAAACCTCCTCACAACATGGCGAAGAGAGGACCCAGATTCGGTTTGCCTGATAGGACTTGTAAGAGCCTGTGGCAACTCTAGCAAGTAGAGCAGAGTGTGTGCCGCGGGACACCGAAGACAGGCGCGTATCAAGGCTAAAAAATAAAAAGAAAGGGGGATCTGTGGGGAGCAAGCCAGACTAGACTGAGTTACTGGAATTAAGACTTATTCTATGCATCTGCTCTCCCACAATGTGGCGTTGGGAGAGAAGTAAACAGCTTCCGCACAGCTGCCTCCAGTTCAACTGATAAACTGTAGGACTTGCTCCTGATTGGAGGAGAGCAGCGTACTCGGCGTGTGGGCAGCCGAGTTGGGATTGGCGGAGGAGGACTATAAAGGAGGAGAGAGACGGCATGCACCAGGAACATCTATGGGGAACATCTAGCTGAAGGAACACCTGTGCAGCCCCCGAGAAGAGCCGGCCGGCGGTGTGCCGCTCCCCTGCGGAAGTGGGGAATGTGGACAGGGGGAACTGCCCTTCCACGGAGGTGGAAGGGATAGTAGCCAACCCGGGAAGAACCAGCAGCAAACCCGGGGAGGGCCGAGCAGACAAAAGAACAGCGCAGGGTCCTGTGTTGCTCCTCCACAAAGAGGGGGAGCGACACCCTACCTTACACCTTATACAAGAATCCACTCAACATGGATTAAAGATCCAAATCTATGACCCGACACCATAAAATTTTTAGAGAAAGTCAGAGAAACCCTGCAAGATATAGGCACAGGCAAAGACTTCTTGGAAATGACCTTGGAGGCACAGGCAATCAAAGCCAAAATTAACAATTGAGATTACATCAAATAGAGAAGTTTCTGAACTGCAAAAGAAACAGTCAGCAAAGTGAAGAGGCAACCAACAGAATGGGAAAAATATTTGCAAACTATGCAACTGATGAAGGATTAATAACCAGAACAAACAAAACAAACAACCAGGGACCTTAATAAACATTTTTCAAAAGAGGAAATCCAAATGGCCAACAGACACATGAAAAAATGTTCAGGATCACTAGCAATCAGGGAAATGCAAATCAAAACCACAATGAGGTTTCACCTCACCCCAGTTAGAATGGCTCACATACAGAAATCCACCAACAATAGATGCTGGTGAGGATGTGAGGAAAAAGGGACACTAACCTGCTGTTGGTGGCAATGTAAACTAGTAAAGCCACTATGGAAGTCAGTCTGGAGATTCCTCAGAAACCTGAATATAACCCTACCATAAAACCCAGCCATCCCACTCCTTGGAATTTACCCAAAGGAAATTAAATTGGCAAACAAACAAGCTGTCTGCACCTTAATGTTTATTGCAGCTCAATTCACAATAGCTAAGATATGGAATCAACCCAAATGCCCATCAACAGAAGACTGGATAAAGAAATTATGGGATATGTGCTCTATAGAATACTATATAGCAGTAAAAAAAAATGAAATCCGGTCATTTGCAACAAAATGGAGGAATCTGGAGCACATCATGCTGAGTGAATTAAGCCTGTCCCAAAGGGACAAATATCATGTGTTCTCCCTGATTGGTGACAACTAACCAAGCACCAAAAAAGGAAACCTGCTGAAGTGAAATGGACACTATGAGAAACAGTGACTTGATCAGCCCTTGTCCTGACTGTTGATGAACAACTTAATACTTTATCCCTTTTGCTGGCGCTGTGGCTCACTAGGCTAATCCTCCACATTGCGGCGCCAGCACACCAGGTTCTAGTCCCGGTCGAGGAGCCGGATTCTGTCCCGGTTGCCCCTCTTCCAGGCCAGCTCTCTGCTGTGGCCGGGGAGTGCAGTGGAGGATGGCTCAAGTGCTTGGGCCCTGCACCCCATGGGAGACCAGGATAAGTACCTGGCTCCTGCCATCGGATCAGAGCAGTGCACCGGCCGCAGCGTGCCGGCCGCAGCAGCCATTGGAGGGTGAACCAACGGCAAAAGGAAGACCTTTCTCTCTGTCTCTCTCTCTCACTGTCCACTCTGCCTGTCAAAAAAAATTACTTTATCCATTTTAGTATTTTTTTGTTTTACTTAATACTATTGGTAGAACTCTGTAATTAACACACAATTATTCTTAGGTGTTGAAATTTAACTGAAAAGTGATCCCTGTTAAATATAAGAGTGGGAATAAGAGAGAGAGGAGATGTACAGTTTGGGACATGCTCAATCAGACTTACCCCAAATGGTAGAGTTAGAAACATGCCAGGGGATTCCAATTCAATCCCATCAAGGTGGCATGTACCAATGCCATCTCACTAGTCCCAGTGATCAGTTTCAGTTCACAATTGATCATAATGATAGGACTCAGAGTCAAAGGGATCAGATAAATAAGACTAATGTCTGCTAATACTAGCTGATAGAATTAAAAAGGAGAGAACAATCCAACATGGGAAGCGAGATACACAGCAGACTCGTAAAAGGGCAGATGTCCTAAACAGCACTCTGGCCTCAGAATCAGCCCTTAAGGCATTCAGATCTGGTTGAAGAGTCCATGAGAGTATTTTAGGCATGGAAAGCCAAGACACTCTGGGAAAAAAAGGACCTATATGAAAGATGTCTGTGAGTGAGATCCCAGTGGAAAGAACTGGCCATCAAAGAAGGAGGCACCTTTCTCTGAAGGGAGGAGAGAACTTCTACTTTGACTATGACCTTGTCAAAATAAGATCAGAGTTAGTGAACTCAAAAGGCTTCCCTATCCTTGGCAACTCATGACTAGAGCCTAGGGTGATTACTGATGGCATAAACAAGAGTGTCAATTTGTTAAGTCAACAACAGGAGTCACTGTGCACTTACTCCTCATGTAGGATCTCTGTCCTTAATGTGTTGTGCAATGTGAATTAATGCTATAACTAGTACTGAAACAGTACTTTACACTT